TTTGCTATTGAGATTTATAAGTGTTGTGTTTTTGAATTTGATTAGCGTTGTTCTTTGAAGGGAAATAAAGAAGGTGATTCTGAGGGACTATAAATATGTGTATATTAAATTAATAAAAAAAATTATTTTTATAAGATGTTGAATTTTTTTTTAAATCTTTTGAATAATTTTCTTTGGATAATAATAGGTACAAATTATAGAGAAAAAAAAAAGAAAAAAAATTTAATTGGGTCAATCCGCGGGTTAACCCGTGACACGTGATGGGCGGGTTAGGGTCTACCTTCATTGACCAGTGACCCGTTTTAACCCAACCCTTTTTGACCGTTATCCGTTCTGACCCGATCTTAACCCGACCCAACCCGCCCGTTTTAACCCAACCCTTTTTGACCGTTATCCGTTCTGACCCGATCTTAATCCGACCCAACCCGCCCGTTTGCCAGGTCTATATAAGTATAAATAATAAGTTAATTAAATTTTATATTTATTACTTAACTTAATATTTATAAATAAGTTATTTTTACTCATTACTTTTTTTTTTTACACGTCAAATATGGTAATTACCAAAACAATTAAAGTGCTTGTAAATAATAGATATACTCATATTCAGTGTTCACTCCTATCTTCATCCCCTAAAATGGACAGAACAGCCAAGGTTTTGTTTCTCAGTGCTACTTGTGATCGTAGTTGTAAGGTTTTATTATTATTATTATTTATTATTTATTATTTTTTATTTTTTATTTTAAATTAAATAAAAAAGTAAATTATAATTAGTAAAATTTTAAAAAATTAATTAAATATTATAAATTTATTTTTTTAAATAAGATACCGCATGCGAAATGAATGTTTAATATTGTCAAGCAAGCCTAAATTTATTTTTTGGTCTATTCATTGTTGGTCAATTATTACTTTAGTCCATAATGTCTATTTTCTTTTAATTTTGTCGATAAAATATAAATTTTATTAGCAAAACTTTCACTATACACAAAACAGCACTCTATGGTACAGGCTACTATTGATATCTATAGTTCTATACACAAAAAATGAATTTGTATATCACTCCATGCACAAAACTTCTAATCCCCATTTTGAGACAATACTACTAGACATAGATGAGGGTTTTGCTTTGACAAAACCGAAGACCTTGTCATGTACATCTATTTGTATTTGATTCATTATTACAGTCTCCCTTTTACATGTCTATTTGTGGATTTTAGTTTTTTTTTTTTTTCCAAATTGATTTAGAAACTAAATGGTCTTCCATCAAAGTTCCTTGAGCTTTTTTAATAAAAATCATCATCAGAACCTACGTGACACTATTTAGTCCAAAAAAAATTACATTCAATAATTAAAAGTAATGATTGGAAGATTAAAATATGACATTATCAGCTATTTAAAATGAGAAAAAGGTTAGGAAAATAGGAAAATATGAGGTTATTTGAAGATTAAAATGTTCAATCGTGTAGTGTCTACGTTGTGTAATGTAGTTGTTAGTGTGAAAATTTTTTTAAAAAATTAATGAAGTTTTGATTAATAAACTATTTTAATATGCTCTTTGAAATCTTTAAAAAGTTTGGAAAATAAAACAAAATAAACTTATTCAACCAAAATAATAATATAGTAATAATTAATATAACTAAACATTATATTTAGCAAAGAAAGAAACATTTAAGAAACAAGAATGATATTATGTACTTATCAATTGTTGTAAATTAGTTTAAAAAATAGTACTGCTAAAAAAGTAAATTTGAAATCAAATTTTTAATTTTTTTACAGTTATGAGCGATGCAGGGTTATGCTAAATCTTTGTATGAGTACCGCAACTTGTGAGGAATATCAACAATGGAGTCTCGTACAATATCTCTTCAATAATGGAGTCTCTCCATTGTCTACCTTCAAAAAAACAAAAAAAGTATCAATAATGGAATCTCAATAACGAAGTCTCAATAATTACATCTCGTACATATCTTTTTCTTTTTCAGCTGCAATGATAATAGTCTCCAACATGGAATTTTATAACTTTATTGGAGTCTTTGAATTGTCTATGGATATCAGCTTTTCCTTCTCCTTTCAGGCAACAAGACAGCAACTGGTTATTGGTCAAGTCTAGCTCAGTTCATTCATTTTTACATCGCGTAGAATTGACTTTTGACTCTAATTATTTATTTTTAAATTTTAGTATCTAAATAAAGTTGATTGAAAATTTAAATTTTATTAATTATTTAAGTATTTATATTTAACTTATAAATTATTAGTGTTTTATTCAACTTATAAATTAAATTCATTCTCTTTTCTCTTTTTTTTTTATTGTCTTTGTTTGAAAAAAATATTATTACATTACGCAGGATCTTATGTATCCTATTACAGTACAATACAAATTCACTTCTAAATCTGTACGAAAAAAGAAGTGAATCACACAGCTTTTTCTAACTTGATATCTGTGTATTGTTTGTTAAGATCGTTATTGGGGTGGGGACCGTGTGGTCTCAGCCTCTCAGACTTGTCTACTTCATCTGTCAAACTTCCCCGCTCACCCCAAGGAGCAGGGAAAATTTCATCAATGTTTTCTCAGATGGGAGAGCCCATTACTGTTGTCACATCCTTTTCTACACTTCAGCACGTTTTCCACTTCTGTTTTCTTATTGTTATATAGGTAAATGTTTTGTTATCCCCAATTTTCACTTTGATGGTTTTGGAGTCCCCACATTTTTGTAACCAAAATAGTCTCACATTTAGTTAGTTGCCAAGATTTTAAAATTAACGGATGTTAATTGGAAATGGATGGGAAACGATTTTAAGATCTTGGGGAAAGAAAAGAGGGACGATCTTGTTTTTCAAAAGTTTCAGGGTGAGTTAAATTAAAAATTTCTCCAAGAGCGATTATGAATACTTTTGAGTTTTGAAAAAGGGAAACATATTTTAAGAGAGGAAAAAAAGCTAAATTTAGTATTTGGTTTTGGTCAATTTAGGTTCGCTAAAAGTTAAAATGTAATTTTGTTTGGTTTGGTGGTGTGTTTACATGAAGTCTTGTATTTTATGGTTTCAGTGTGCTACACATTACCAATAGGAACTTCAAGGTTTGGGCAACCGGGTTGAAGACATCCTGTTAGGGGATAGGTTAGGCGTTCCTTTTATGCGCCCTTAATTTAATTTGTATCTATGCTCCAATGAATCAAGAAAAAAAAATGATGTCTTGTAGTTTTGTTTGAGCAAAACCTACTGCTAAGCTCCTTGACTTTCTTTATATTTTCATATAAGCCCTTAAAAAAGTGACATGTAAGTCTATATGTGTTTAAATTTGAGTAAATAAATTCTTGTGTTTAGGTGAAATCATATTTGGTTATGTAAGTTAAATAATTATTTATTTTTATCTTGTGTGATAATTTATTTATATTTATATATTGATGTAATATAAAATTCAATCATTTTCCTCTTAATTATGAAAATTTTAAATTATATAATACATATATTTAAGTATAAAAAATTATTAAATTAATATTTAAATATAAAAATTTTGTCATACAAGGAGAAAAAATAAACAATTATTTAACTTACATAATTTCACATGCTTATGCTGATAACACAAGCTACTTTACTTAATTTTAGGCATTTAGGGGCTTACCTCATACTTTTTTTTTTAAAGGCTTATGTGAGAAAAAGGATACTCTAGACTTCAGATTGAGTTCCCCACAGCTCC